GGATATGACCTTGGTAGGGGTGTGGAACTCCCCGTTTATTTAACTGTTGGCATAACTGACATTGTTGTACTGCAGTGGCAATATCATCATGGGTGACAAGGATTCCCCTTTGTTGTGCCCACCTGTATGAAGCTTGTTCTCCCAAGTGTCCACTCTTTTCGTGGACTTACTGTGCTAAGCCTGGGTTATGCGTTGTACGAATCTGCACCAGCTGATCAGCATGAGAATTATGCTTTTGTTCTGTAGAAGTTAAAGAACTGTGAGCATCAACATGAAATATAGTAACAATCGTGTTTTGACACTATAACCATATGTCTTTCTATAATTTTTTTTTTCTATATTTTTTTATCATTAATTTTCTAATCATGTTTTTTCCATTGTGGCATCTACGTTGCCAAACCTTGTGCCACTGTCCATGAATCAGTATATATATAATATTGTTGCCCGTGTTCTTGTTGAAGTGCCTGATACACCGCATAAAGTTCAGCATATTGGCTATTTATATTATCTCCGGTGGTGACAATTGTTTGTTGGGTGGATGGGTTATAGGCAACTGTTTTCCATTTCTGTGAGCCTGATATCATTTTGGCAGAATCATCCGTAAACCAGGTATGTTTTTGTTGTTCTTTAGTCAATTGATCATATGAGACACCCCATTTAACAGGAGATTCTGTTATATCAGTCTTAGGTGACACAGTTGGCTCACTGCTATATTGAGACACTTGTTTATGCAATAGAGACAACCCCTTTGGGCCAGGTTTGGCCCGGTCTTGAATATATCATTTCTATTTGATGATATTAAATTTTTGTGTATGTCCAATTTTATGAGTAACAGGAGTGTTATGAATCTATTGTATGATGGGTATTTGGGGTCGCATAATTATCTCATGTCCCAGGGTAAGGCTTTCTGAGTCTATTAGAGCCCAATAGTAGGCTACAACTGTTTTTCAAAAGGACTATATCTTTCATTGGAACAGGGAAGCTTGCGACTCCAAAATCTTAGAGGATAACGTTGGGCACCTTGTTTTTGTTATAAACTCCAGCTGGCATATTGATCAATGACATCTACCTGTAATTCAGTGGGTCTCGGTTTAATTGGCCATAGATCTAAAGCAGTCTGAATAGCATGCTTGGCTGCTTCAAAAGCTTCTTTTTGTTTCATTCTCCATTTAAATTTATATTTTTTCTTGGTAACTTTATATAAAGGTGCAAGGAGCCGACTTAAATGTGGAATATGTGCCCTCCAAAATCCAAATAATCCAATAAATTTTTGTGCTTCCTTTTTGTTACGAGGTGCTGCAAAATTTAATATCTTTTGTCTAGCTTTAGGTAAAATTTTTTGTTTTTCATTATTCTAAAGTATTTCCAAAAATTTAACATTTGAATTTGGGCCCTGAATTTTAGCTGGATTAGTTTTCCGTTCATCCTCCTCAAGTGTGTCCATTACTTTTTCTAACTGTTGTTGTATTCTTTTTTTTTTTATTTCCTTGGGTCATAATATCATCTATATAATGTACTATTTGGACATCATTAGAAGCAGCTACCTTTGCCAAGGTTTTAGCAACCTGTCGATGGCAGATAGTGGGACTATGCACATATCCCTGAGGAAGTCTAGTAAAGGTATATTGTTGTCCCAGCCACGTGAAAGCAAACTGTTCTTGGACACTTTTAGGTATAGGTATGGTGAAAAAGGCATTAGCCAAGTCTATGACTGTATACCAAGTGCCTGGATAACATTGTACTTTTTCTATAAGAGTAATCAAATCAGGGACGGCCACTTGAATAGCCGGAGTCACTTTGTTTAGTTCTCCGTAATCTATAGTCATTCTCTATGTCCCATCACCTTTTTTAACAGGCCAGATAGGATTATTCTAGGCTGTAGTTACTCTGTGAAGGACTTTTATAGCCAAATAATCTTCTATGGTCTCAGATATTTTTTGTTGTCCTCTAGGGATGTGATATTGTCTTTGATTGACCACTTGTGTGGTAGGTGGAATTTTTACTTCATGATGCAAACATTCTACAATTATAGCATTAATATGAAAAGACAAAGCTCTAATAGCAAATTGGTATTGTCCATCAGCCAAATTTAATGTCAATCTTTTTAGAATATCAGTCTCAATTATATATTCTGGTATTGGCACAATCATAAGTAGATATGTGCGTCGGGGTAGTTGCCCAATTTGCATAGAAAGATTAGTGGTAACTGCCTGGATTTCTTTTCCT